CTCGATTCTTCCGGTTTGTAGCTCGTCGAGAGCGGTATCACTAATATAGCTTGAATATTCGACGAGGTAGAGTGTGTGGGGAGTACTTACTGGTCCCGATAGACATTCCCGGTCGCTGAGTTATACGCAAAGATCGTCTCTCTCCAAGCCATCAGGCTCTTGGCCGCAGTCTTTTCCGTGCAGGCACTTGTCGCGGTCGAGGCACTTGTCGCGGTCAAGGTACTTGTCGCGGTCGAGGTACTTGTCGCGGTCAACGTGCTAGTTCCGGCGGGTAGCGCTTCCGTATGACTGTCGACGGCAGCACGTTTTCGCGTCCAAGGTGTCCGGCCATCGAAATGGAATCGCTGAGGTCGTCTTCTGGAATAGAGAGGAGTGACGGAGAAAGGGAAGAGAGCATTGGAGATGAAGATAATGGCAGAGGCTTTTTTCGTGGCCATATATTTGGAAAGTTGCGATGCAGGTAAGAGGAACCTCGCCCCGGGTGGAATGTCGGTGGTGGAGAACGTCTTTTTAGTACTGGACGACATTTTCGTAGAGCGGCTCGATGTTATTGCTGAGCTGTGGACAGTCGAAGTAGGAGTTGGTGCCGAAGAACAAATTGCGCCTTTTGGCACCAATGAAAGCTGTTGGTGGAGCCCAGTTACAATGTCATCGTGGTCCAAAGCGCACAGTATATTCCAGTAAGAAACGAGGCCGGCCCATGTTGCATGCCCAGTGATCGTATCGCGCGTGGCACCTGGGGCGGCCAGAGCAGCGCTACTGCAATATAGTAAGAAGGCGCTCAGCAACGATTTGTGAGAAACATACAAAATGGTGAATGCACCGACACCACGGGCCAGCCAATAGAGGAGCTTGTCCGATTCCTCGTGGTTCTTGAAGGACTGGTAGTTGGTGCTGGGGAAAAATGGCGGATGGCAGAATGTCATTTCCCAAGGCGGGTCTTCTGCGCTACCGCTATAGAGCTATGAGAAGCCTGACTTGATTCTAAGTGTAAACTTACACGGGAGACTCGATGCGCATCGCGCTGTCGATTGGGTCAGCGAAAGAGTCGAGACACTGATCACGCGGTCACACAGAAAAGAAAAATCAAGACGACATGGATTAGAAGCACTTCAAGCCACAGATACGAGAAATTCTACGAGCGAGGAAGACGAGATGGCACCCATACATATAATACTCGCGTGTACTTGGTGGATATAGTATTTGGTTTTGCTGTAGATCCTCCCAATCGACGAGTAGCTGCTCCACCATACGACGGAGCTCCTTCAATTTAGCTTGACTAAGAGTGCGAGTGTTTCCCATCCTATTGCGCAGATCGGCTTCGAAACGGGATTCGCGACGTCGAAGGAGTCCATCGACCGTGCAGCACAGGCTTTCGATATCGCACTCCTCGGCCGGCCCATCAACTTGAGCGATGATATTAGTGTCGAAGGGAGGGGGCTGAAGCCAGTGGCAGAAGGGTGCTTCATCGAAACCGTCGTCTTGTGCATCAATGAAAGAGTACCGTGCGGTATGTAGTTCGGAACAGGCCCACTCTTCAATGAGCTTCGGAAGAGTGAGAAGAGGAAGCCGTTTGGCAGCTTTGCGGCCGCTACTGTATCGTTGCTGACGAACAGAGTGTCCACTGGTCGAAGTGTTAAGATTTCAATCTGGAAAGAATGTAAAGGCTTACCGTTTGCTGCTATCGTATTTCTGGTTTGCGAGGCGGCGAGCGCAGCGTCGTTCTTCATCGGTGTTATACTTGGATCGACGTCCCATAGCAGGGTGAAGAAGGAGTCGACAGATTGAGAAGAAGTAACACGAAAGAGAGGCCAAGTGTGACAACGACTTGAAAAACTGGTATTGAGACATTGCGAGATTTACTTGGCGTATCTGAAGACCAGAACTTAGTGGAGTATGAGTGGGCAAGCTATTGAAGACAGATACCAAAGTGTTTGAGCCATAGACTAACGACGATGCTGAGATATGAGGGATATCGACACCCGACTTTTATTTTTGATGAGCCAGTATTGGCAGTAGGGTTAGGGTTAGCCTTTGCTCCGCACAAAATTTCATCCTGTGACATGGGTGCCACAGGTAGATATTAAAAAAAAAGGAAATGGTACAGTAGAAAGAGAGAGGCCATAGTGTAGAGTAAAGGCAAGGATACCCAGAGAGGCCATGTGTGTATAGTAAGGGGAAGGTAACACTAAGAACTAGAAAGGCCATCGCTATGTAGAACGGCCATTGAGCTTTCCATGCTCCAATAAGTAAGATGACAGTGTAGCGTGGGTTGAAAGTGAATGGGAGACAGTGTAGACAGTAAGGGATTGGTGTGGTGTCGTGTGGGAGAGGTGTGGACTGAAGTGTGGTCGGAAGGGGTGTACGGATCCATCTGCGTTGGAAGAATCAGCGAGAAGTGTCCACAAGAGCGAGAAAACGCACCTGGAGATGCTCGAAGAGAAGCTCTGGCCACTCCACTTCGTCTCCGAATCTACCCACTTCGTCTCCTCGAACGTCGAAACTGGAAGACGGCGGTAGGCTCTAACATGGAGCACGACAAGCTATATCGAGATTTGTGAGCATGTACTAGGACGGGTAGCATGAGTGACTTACCAGGTATGTAGGAACAGCGAGAAAGTCGCGACGAGGAGGGGAGGCGGGCGGTTGTTGGGTGAGACAGCTGCTCTGTCACCCTGTCACACTTCGGTGTCAACACGACCAAACAACCGACAGCCCACCACCATATGCGCAAGTCCAGCGCGCGGTCAAGGCGTCAACTAGTCCTTGGCTCCTCGGTACCCACCCCAGCCTTGTACTCTGTTTCAACACAGCGGAAGATACTCACCACCCATGGAGTACAAGAGTACCACAAGCGCCAGGCCCAGGCTGTGGATGCAGACATGGCAGGCAAGTCTTAGCTTGTCTTGTCGGTCTCCGTTTCCCCATAAACTAACCGCCTCACCAACAGTCATGAGTCGTCCGTCGCTAAATGCATTACAAACACTCCAAGAACTTGCTGTCGACGACGACTTCGATGCGACCGACATTGGAGAAGAGAACCTCATCACATTCAGCAGCATTCTCCGTGGCACTCACCCCGCTGAAATGAGCCACGCGGGTGGGGAGTTTGAAGGGATAGAAGAAATGTTACGTCCAAGGTCGGTTCTTGTTTTCAATACCCACTTTTTTTTGATCAGATTTCCCAGCATAAAACGTCGTGACTGGCGAACGCGCCCGCGAATCCACACAGCGACGTGCGGAAGCATTTGCGGTTCAAGCACCCGCTATGCTTAAAGCATACTACCGTTCTTGTGCCGGAGACGCTTCAACCATTCCACAAGCCGACGACGAGAATGCTGACCGGTATGTGGTAACTATTGTGGGTATCTTTGGTGAGTCAAGGGGTTTCTTTCTTATTAGATTAACTCTGACGTCGCTTTCGCTTTGTAGATACGAAGCATAACGTCGAAATCGGGCTTGACCCGACTGCTGGTGGAATCGCGCCTGCTCTTATCGCGCAAGGACTCTTTCCTTGTGCGCCATGGACTCCGAGTGTGGCTTTCACCCAACAGGCTTTGGACTTTTACCGTGTTGCTCATTCGCGGTGCCCGCAATATACTATTCAAGCATTTATTCGGACTTTGAGTGATCTTCATGGGGTATGCGCGTCAATTATGTTTGTTCTCATTACTGACTTCAATTCGCAGCTTCCACATCGTCCTTATCTATTTCAACAGTTCTCCATTGCGTACGATGTGTTCCTCGACCTGCGTCGACGCCGCGGAATCACAAGTCTTGGCCATCCTAAACCACCTGCCCTGCCCAAATCTGTCAACAGATGAGATGTGTTGATGGGACCCGATCAACACATCTTCTTGGTATGAAAATCCTCTATTTCTCTTACTCTCCGAGAATACCCTCCGACAAATCCCCCCATGGACTTCTCCCTGGGCTCCACGCAGCCCGGCGGCCTGCCGCTGCCATCAACGGCGCGGCGTGAACTGTCTGCTGCTTCCCACCGCCTGCCAGTCCACCACCGTCACCGTCGCGCTCCCCGTCGGGCCTCGGCGCCGCGCCCCTGACGTCACAGCGCGGTCACCGCGTGACGGACGTGGCTCTATCGACTGCCACGTCGACCACACTTGTCTGCTCACTGTCCGCCCCCTTGCTGCGGCCGCCCTCGCGCTCCGGCAGCGGTGACCACTGTCACAACGCGGTCACCGCGTGGCGCCGCGCGACTCTGTCACCGGCCCCGCTGCCCTCCCGCTGCGCGCCTTCGCCGGCTTGGCGTGACCTGGCCCCTCTCTCTGCTGTGCATGCTTCTCACCACCTGCCCGCCCGCTGCCACCCTCGCGCTCGGACGTCACGGTGCGATCACCACGTCACCCGTCCCTGTCAGCCGCCTCACTGCCCGCCTGACGCGTGACCGCGCAGCTCCCGACTACACATCAACCAACAGCCTTCCGCCCGCCCGCCCGCCCGCCCGCCCGCCCGCCCGCCCGCCCGCCCGCTCGAGCTCGCTGACCGCCCGCCCGCAGCCGCCCCCGTTGCGCTCGCTCCATTATGCTCGACCACGCGGATCACCGCCTGCCCCCCTCCCACCTCACTGTTGCCTCATTGCCCGCCCCATCAACGGCGCGGCGGCCTTACGTGCGACTGTATCGTAACTCCGGCTCGGTGGCCTCGCTGCTGCCGTTGCATGATCCTCGCTGCCCGCTGTCCCTCCCGCTCCCGCTCCCGCTCCCGTTAGCGCCGCGCCGCCGTTGACCGTGGATGACAACATCCGCAACCATCGACCGCCCTCCCCAAGAGGTGGCAGATCACACCGATCCGCACACGGGTGATGGAACGTCAATCAATTGTTAACTCCGGATGTCACGATCAAGCGGAGAGAGTCGCTGGTGCGGGCTCAGGCCACTGGCTCAACACTGGCTCAATCTGAGGCTGGGGCCGGTTTGCATGTTGTGGCATATAAGTACTTACATGAGAATTTGCGTAGGTAGCTAATGGATATGTATTTAATCAAGTCGTTGCCGTTTGCTTGGTCGGAGTATACTAGTATTCGGGTCAAGGTTCTCCTTGTCGCGCAGTCTAGTTTTTGTGGGATTGGATGGCGAGAGAGTGGTGGGTGGATATGACCCTTGACATGAGATGGGCCACTCGGTTATGTGATTGAGTGGGATGTCCAGCGCGAGTTGTTCTTCGCGCGAGACGGTGAGTGCGGGAATGAGCTTGGAGTCGGCGCGAATGATGTCTCGCCAGGTAGGGTGTCGATCGTTGAGGTGCTGAATAATGTTGTACTTCCAGTGGACCTGACCGCAGTTGGAGAACGGACAACTGACAGGAATGTTAGTGCAAGGATTGGCATTTGTTACCTTGCTTATCGCGGAGACAAGAAACGGATAGTGGTCGCGGCAGTCGGATTGTGCTTTGCCAGAGTCAATACTGATCTTACAGACAAGCCCATCACCACCACAAAACCCACAAGGATATGGCGCGGAAATCTATATCAAACTGGCATAAGCGCATAGTAGCCATGGATTGGATAATCAATATCTACCGCAGTTTTGACTGCACCATCGGGCACACTGAGCCGGTGCTTGAGAATGTGCTGGCCAATATGGAGCTGTCGTTTCTCGTGTTTGACTGTCGCAGCGCAAATTCCGCACTCAGTCTTGTCAAGGAATGAATTGCAGACAGCAGTGTCTGCTGCCGGGAGTGAGAACGCGAATGCAGAAGACACTATCCAAAGTGATAAGTACTCGCATATGGCCATTCAGGTAATAGCACATACCACTGGATGAGCGAATAGAATATGGGAAGTGACCATCAATTACTTTTGTGAATCGAGAAATCTTGTTGTGAAGCGAGTGGTCGGCTTCAATTCGTTGCCAGATTGACTCCCAAGCATTGCATAGGTCAGCATGCGAGAAGTACCAGGTCTTCTCGCGTGTTGCACGCATGGCGATGGAAAGATTCTCGGTCATAATCTCATGTGCATAGTCGCTGAATGGTTGCACAAGGCGCGAGCATACCGAGATCTGAAGGTTACCTACACGGGACACAGAATCTGTCGCTGTTGCCTTTTTGAGCAGCGAGAGGGAGACAAAACCCTGGTCCCAAGCCCAAGACCAGGTGTCACCAGTGTCGCGGCCAGGTGGAACGGCCACGAGCGATAGAACTTGGCCAGATATGATGTAGGATGAGTCGGAGAGGTGCAGTTCACCCAAGGGAATGGCTGAGATGGATTTGGCCTTGCCGCTTCGTCCATCTTTGATAAGAGTCGTCTTTACGACGGCCAGGCCAATGTCGACTCCGTTATGGGATACCAGAGTGACGAAAAGCTGCCCAAGCTGGAAATGGGTAGCAGCAGAGAGAACGACGGCACCCTCTGAACTATCACGCGCCCACGACAGCGTCCCACCGGCAGTGAATCCACGGACGCGGGAAAGTCGGTCATGAGCCTCGACGAAGTCGTGATACATGTCAAAGAGGATTCGGACTGCGGAGCTCTTGTGAATGCGCCGTTCAGATGTGTTGTCAATGCGGGCAAAGGCAGAACATAAATGAGGCGGATTGAGGGGCAATTTGGCCTCACGAGCGAGAATGTCAGCGGTCGTAAGCCCAGCGAAAGGGTCGGTGAATTTGTAAGCGGCTCCGGAAAGGTCGATGTCTGCGGTATCGGTCGTGCTAGCATCACCGAGCGACCGGTCCACAGCACCCGAAATAGATGGATACTTGCCTCCCCGGGGTCGAAGCAGGTCCGTCTTGTCGCGCTGGAACAATTCACGGAAGGTGAGAGAGATGTCGCGGCCTTGCTCCCGAATGGTAAGCTTTGTGCTATACTTGGCAAGTGTGGCCTCGGCTTCGGTCGCAGCCCACTCCCAGCACGAGCGCAGGTCGCAGCTTTTAGCACGGAGCTCTGTTTTCCATTGAGCGGGGCCAAGGTGATCGACATGCTGCATCCGAAAGAAGTTTAGGCGTTCTGGTTTTCGCTCGAGATGTGGGTTCCGCGAAAATATATCGTCAAGGTTCATCGCTGAACGTCCGCGAGCACAGAATTCCGCAAGACCGCAATTGGGATGATGGCCCCCAACCATGCGAATGCGGCCAAACAGTGTTTCGAGCACATCGTCACCAAGTAGACAGAAAAAGACTTCCAAGTCGGGGTCAAATGCACGTGTCTTTGCGATGAGAAATATGGCATTCTTGACCATCGCTTGGAGGTCCCCATATAGCTGGTTGGGAATGAACGAGGTTCCATGCTGTAGATAGATCGCGCAGAGGAGGAAGCTGAATTTGCTCAAATAGCAAGCTTGGTGCGTCAGCGTCAGTGTGGTGTTGATGAACGGCTGCAATAATGCATCGAGCATCTCCCCGAACAAGCAGAGTGCTTCATACTCAGCTTGCTGGGTTGCGTCAAGACTAGCCTTGTCGATTTTTTGGATGTCAATGATGGCGAGTAGCAATTTAATAGCGCGCGGCACGTCTTGAGCGTCTGGTGGATTAAGGAGAGCATGGATTGAGACCTCGGACCAGTCATATCCAGGAATCTCCGCAAGCCAAATCAGCAGAAGGTCACGGTTGATGCAGATTCCCTTGATTGCTATGCCTTGAGGCGAACGAATAGTCGTACAAATGCCTAATAACAGATTAGAAGTGATAGTTGAGTTACAAAAGCTACACACGCTTGACTTCGTGCTTGAAGTCAAAATCCATTGTCAGGTTGTTCTTCCCTGTGAAGAGGTTGAGGCCGTATAAGTCCTTGACAAACTCGTAGATTGGATTTCCCTCCTTAACCTCGTTCTGCATACAAAGAACAAAAAAAGCAATTCGACGCTTGGGGTCACCATCCGACGCAACAGCCGTAATGGGACCATGCTTGACCTCCCCGTCTGGTGACCGTGACCATGCTTCGAGCACATTTTGAACAACGCGTAGAACATCCCTCCAGTCACCCAACTTGCATGAAGAGCCAATGTAGACCGGCTTTGCGCCATAATTGTCGCGAGCCAGGCGAGATATGGCACCAACAGAAATCAAGTCGGCAATGTGAACTTTTCCCTCTTTCACCAAGCGGGCTGCAATTTCGATAGGCGTGATTGTTTCGCCGATGCGGGCATCAGGAAGATGAAAAAGATGCTCGAGGCAAAGCCCGCCCATGGCATCGAGTTCAGAGATGTAATCAACTGTCGGAGATTTTGCAATTTCGTCGAATGAAGCAGTATGGAGATAGCGTCGAGTCGGAGGAGCACCGCCAAAATGAGTCGCAACATTATTGTATGTTGGCGTGAAGTCAGGCCCGAAGATGGCAGGCTGTAAGTCTTTCTCTCGGCGATATTTTTGCAGAGTTTTCCGACTGGGCAGCGCATAAACTGATTTGCTAAATGAATGGACGGCAGAGAGCCCCCCGAGTTCATAGACAATCATTCCTAGGTCGATTTCCCAACCAAAGAAGTTTGTCGGGCGATATTTTCCGTCGACAGCCATCTGGCAACGCTTCAACGTCTTCTCGGTGCTCCATTTTTCGGTGCCGGCCTGGGCGAGAAGTCGATGCAGGGCGGGAACCGGTGTCGTCTGAAGGAAATGAAGGAGGGCCGTGAAATGGCCCACTCGTGTTCGTGCAACGTCGAGCGAGTCTTTGCAATTCTGGTACTGGAGAACGATGAAGAGGGTCGAAGAATACAGTAGATAAGCAACGATACCTTCAGTTTCAGCGCGTTGAAATCTGCGTCCCGCTGGGCCAGCTTGTTCCGTAATTGTAGCCAGCTCAGGTCCTGAGTCGACCGGACATGGTCGTGGGTTTTTGCGGCACGGTCCTGAATTGTTTTGAGCTTTGAGGGAAGGTCAGCGCAGAAGTTACAGCGCTGTCCAGGTATGCTAACGAGTCCTGCACATGAAGTCGAGCGGGCACACGGACTCCCTCGCAGCTCGATGTAGAAATCCACTGGCGGTGATGTTGTAGCGTGAATTTGGTGGGGGTACGTTGCCCAGAAGTCGCCTATCTCCCAGTCAAGGATGAATCCCGCACAGTTGTAGCAGTTCGGCGGCGGTTCTTGTGGCTGGTGAGGCAACGATGGTAGCAGGTTTGCTGTTGTTTCGACAAGTTCCTTTGCTGCAATGGCATCCGCACCATCTAAACCAGTTATATGAGGGCATGCATACGCGAAATAGCGACTTGACGCACCTCTACACCTTTGCCCATCCAGATGCTTGCTCCACGCTGCAGGTGTGATACTCCGATAACATTTGGGGCAGCGGCCATCGTCTCGGAGGTAGATTGTTGTAATGGGAGAGTAAATTGCGATGGGAGACGGATTAGTTGAAGTATTAGGGATTAAAATTGAGTTTGTAGTGTGATTGGATGAATGAGCGACGAGATTAGAAGGGTGTGTCGGTGTTACATATGGTACATGCTGAGCATGGTTTGGCGCGGTGGACAGGGCCGGAAGGTGCTTGATTAGGGTGTTGAAGGTGTTGGGAGTGAGCGCCGCACGTAAACACGCCTTGTTACCGGCCGCGACGCGTCGAAAGCAGACGGAATGACCGCGTCTGGTGGTGGGAGAGGACAAGCCACGTAAGCAATCAATTGACAAATCTACTTTACATCGTCGGCTAAATTTCCTAAAAAGGTTGGCAGGTCGACCTCATCACCCATCACCCGTGTGCGGATCGGTGTGATCTGCCACCTATCGGCGGGGGAGGGCCCGGGGCCCCCGCTTTTTGTCGCAAGTTGAGGACTCACGTGTCGGACTACGGCCTCAACCTCTTCACAGGAAGACCCTGGTTTTGACCCTCCGTGTAGCTTTTGTAACTCAACTATCACTTTAATCTGTTATTAGGCATTTGTACGACATTCGTTCGCCTCAAGGCATAGCAATCAAGGGAATCTGCATCAACCGACCTTCTGCTGATTTGGCTTGCGGAGATTCCTGGATATGACTGGTCCAGGTCTCAATCCATGCTCTCCTTAATCCACCAGACGCTCAAGACGGCCGCGCTATTAAATTGCTACTGCCATCATTGACATCCAAAAATCGACAGGCAGTCTTGACGCAACCCAGCAAGCTGAGTATGAAGCACTCTGCTTGTTCGGGAGATGCTCGATGCTTATTGCAGCCGTTCATCAACACCACACTGACGCTGACGCCCAAGCTTGCTATTTGAGCAAATTCAGCTTCCTCCTCTGCGCGATCTATCTACAGCATGGAACCTCGTTCATTCCCAACCACATATGGGGACCTCAAGCGATGGTCAAGAATGCCATATTTCTCATCGCAAAGACAGGCATTTGACCCGACTGGGCTTTTCTGTCCTGGTGACGATGTGCTCAAACACTGTTTGGCCGCATGCATGGTTGGGGGCCATCATCCCTGCGGTCTTGCGGAATTCTGTGCTCGCGGACGTTCAGCGATGAACCTTGACGATATATTTTCGCGGAACCCACATCTCGAGCGAAAACCAGAACGCCTAAACCTTTCGGATGCAGCATGTCGATCACCTTGGCCCCGCTCAATGGAAAACAGAGCTCCGTGCTAAAAGCTGCGACCTGCGCTCGTGCTGGGAGTGGGCTGCGACCAGCCGAGGCCACACTTGCCAAGTATAGCACAAAGCTTACCATTCGGGAGCAAGGCCGCGACATCTCTCTCACCTTCCGTGAATTGTTCCAGCGCGACAAGACGGACCTGCTTGACCCCGGGGAGGCAAGTATCCATCTATTTCGGGTGCGTGGACCGGTCGCTCGGTGATGCTAGCACGACCGATACCGCAGACATCGACCTTTCCGGAGCCGCTTACAAATTCACCGACCCTTTCGCTGGGCTTACGACCGCTGACATTCTCGCTCGTGAGGCCAAATTGCCCCTCAATCCGCCTCATTTATGTTCTGCCTTTGCCCGCATTGACAACACATCTGAACGGCGCATTCACAAGAGCTCCGCAGTCCGAATCCTCTTTGACATGTATCACGACTTCGTCGAGGCTCATGACCGACTTTCCCCTCCGTGGATTCACTGCCGGTGGGACGCTGTCGTGGGCGCGTGATAGTTCAGAGGGTGCCGTCGTTCTCTCTGCTGCTACCCATTTCCAGCTTGGGCAGCTTTTCGTCACTCTGGTATCCCATAACGGAGTCGACATTGGCCTGGCCGTCGTAAAGACGACTCTTATCAAAGATGGACGAAGCGGCAAGGCCAAATCCATCTCAGCCATTCCCTTGGGTGAACTGCACCTCTCCGACTCATCCTACATCATATCTGGCCAAGTTCTATCGCTCGTGGCCGTTCCACCTGGCCGCGACACTGGTGACACCTGGTCTTGGGCTTGGGACCAGGGTTTTGTCTCCCTCTCGCTGCTCAAAAGGCAACAGCGACAGATTCTGTGTCCCGTGTAGGTAACCTTCAGATCTCGGTATGCTCGCGCCTTGTGCAACCATTCAGCGACTATGCACATGAGATTATGACCGAGAATCTTTCCATCGCCATGCGTGCAACACGCGAGAAGACCTGGTACTTCTCGCATGCTGACCTATGCAATGCTTGGGAGTCAATCTGGCAACGAATTGAAGCCGACCACTCGCTTCACAACAAGATTTCTCGATTCACAAAAGTAATTGATGGTCACTTCCCATATTCTATTCGCTCATCCAGTGGTATGTGCTATTACCTGAATGGCCATATGCGAGTACTTATCACTTTGGATAGTGTCTTCTGCATTCGCGTTCTCACTCCCGGCAGCAGACACTGCTGTCTGCAATTCATTCCTTGACAAGACTGAGTGCGGAATTTGCGCTGCGACAGTCAAACACGAGAAACGACAGCTCCATATTGGCCAGCACATTCTCAAGCACCGGCTCAGTGTGCCCGATGGTGCAGTCAAAACTGCGGTAGATATTGATTATCCAATCCATGGCTACTATGCGCTTATGCCAGTTTGATATAGATTTCCGCGCCATATCCTTGTGGGTTTTGTGGTGGTGATGGGCTTGTCTGTAAGATCAGTATTGACTCTGGCAAAGCACAATCCGACTGCCGCGACCACTATCCGTTTCTTGTCTCCGCGATAAGCAAGGTAACAAATGCCAATCCTTGCACTAACATTCCTGTCAGTTGTCCGTTCTCCAACTGCGGTCAGGTCCACTGGAAGTACAACATTATTCAGCACCTCAACGATCGACACCCTACCTGGCGAGACATCATTCGCGCCGACTCCAAGCTCATTCCCGCACTCACCGTCTCGCGCGAAGAACAACTCGCGCTGGACATCCCACTCAATCACATAACCGAGTGGCCCATCTCATGTCAAGGGTCATATCCACCCACCACTCTCTCGCCATCCAATCCCACAAAAACTAGACTGCGCGACAAGGAGAACCTTGACCCGAATACTAGTATACTCCGACCAAGCAAACGGCAACGACTTGATTAAATACATATCCATTAGCTACCTACGCAAATTCTCATGTAAGTACTTATATGCCACAACATGCAAACCGGCCCCAGCCTCAGATTGAGCCAGTGTTGAGCCAGTGGCCTGAGCCCGCACCAGCGACTCTCTCCGCTTGATCGTGACATCCGGAGTTAACAATTGATTGACGTTCCATCACCCGTGTGCGGATCGGTGTGATCTGCCACCTCTTGCCCGCTTGCCTCCGCGCCACCTCCGCGCCACGCGATCCCCGTGTAACCCGGCCACGGCCACACATGCGTTGCCCGCTTGCGTTGCTGATGCCGCTCTCGTACCCCATGTGGCGATGCCACTCTCGCTACCCATGTATAGGGGCCGTGCATGTCACAATGACATCGCCTAACCCCGCCCGCTGTCAGCTACCAGCTCGTTCTGCAATCGCGCTGCATTCTCGTTGCCTCCACGTCGACGACGACAACGCTGCTCCTGTGGCCGACGCCCTGGCGACCCGCGCCACCCCTTGGGTCCCCTCCGCGTCACCTACAGCAAACGTGCCAGGTGTAAATCTCTGCCCACCGCTGCACACCATTGTCCGCCGACACCGCGTGAGAAGTTGAAGCGAATTCAATTGGCGATCGCCGGTGCAGTGCGAGGAGGCTGTGTACGCTACTCATTGTCGTAGCAATGTCGTAGTAATGTTGGGATTGATCAATGCCATAAAGTGATCACAAAACTAATCACCCTCCGATCTTCGATCATGTATCTTGACTGTCCTATATCTCTACAAAAGGATGCTTCAAGCAATTGCAGTCACATTAATCTTGTGGGTCTATACTCTTGTGTTAACTAACTTTCTGTTCTTTTTTTTCTCTCTCTCTCTCTACAAGATGACACAATAGCATCTTGGATGTTCTCATCTCTGGGGAATGATGCCAGTGGATCTCACCCAATACATGTCCAGATATATCTGTTCCTAATGCTTAGCATATCACACCATGGTCTGATGTCCTTCACATATTTATAGAAGTGGAGTAAGCATTGTAGGATAGTTCACAGGAAATTGCATTGTCAATGCTCTAACTTAGATAGGTCTGCAGAATTTGTTGCAGAACTGGGTGGAGGTGCTTGAAATATGAATTGGCACAGTCAGAGCACTTAAATTGCCTTATCAGACCTGCCTTGGTCCTAAAAACATGTTGAATATTTTATCACATATGCTTAAGATCTTCCTGAATCTGGGGCTAGATAAGCTATCAAAGAGTGTAGAGATGAAGGATAGACTTACATGTACCATAATATTCATTTGGCTATGAGATCCCAAGCCTTCTATATGCTGCAATCTGGTGAATGTTGCATGTGTCACTTTTGTGACACTCTTGGAACTCAAATATTAAACTTGTAGTTTGGAATACATGATACAGAGGTCAGAATATAGTGTGGTTGTAGGCTCATGACAGTTCCTAATGACATATATGCATTAGTGTGAGCAGTTCCAGATATTAGAACTGGAGACAGGGTTAGTACTCTTAAGGCCAAAAGAACTGTCTCCGCTATTACAACTGGTCAAAAAATTATTTCAAGTAGGATTCAAGAAACTTATATAAGTGACTAGAGGACTTCAAAATAACTGTTCTGGCACTTCAATCAGTCTACTAGCTATCTTGGATGTTACATGATTGAAGAATCAGTGTTATCTTTGCCAAAATCAGCTCCTCCATATCTGCACTGATTTTGGGCAGAATGAGTTGGTAGTGTGGGGGCTAGTAAGGTGCATGCTTAGCTCCCAGAAACTGATATGCACTTCCAGATAGATATACCAGAAGGCAGAATACAATATGCACAATAAACCCTGCTATTAAGTGATACCATCGGGTGCCCCTGGTTCAGAAATGGGTCAGATTGCATTATTCTATCCCTTATACCCAAATCAGCTGAGATCAATCTTATCCCCCCAGTCTATATGAAGAATTCTGCTTTTCATGCCCTAGGTAGTCAAATATGGTCGATCACCGCTGAATGGTGTTGCATGAGAGTATTGGGCAGCATTGATCGATCCTGGTTGATGTTAGAGCCCTTCATACCTTTCAAATGACTACTCAATCATTCATATCCATGCTCTGGATGTGGAGATATAGTCCAACATCAGGTGCATCAAAACCACATGATTCAGTGATGGGAGGCATTTTCATGCACTTGCTCCAAAGCACAAGCTTCGATAGAAGTTGTTAGACATACATTTGGCTTCAAATATGTTCT